TACATATTCATCTTTCTTTCCATCAAACAAAAACTGAGTGAGGTAGTTGGTGAACGTAAGTATACAAGAACGATGGAAACTGAAATGGTGAATTGCTGATTCGAAAATTGCGAGGAAATTAGCGATTACTCTTACAGATACAATAAATCGGTTGATTTCAGTCGTGTTTAGGAGGAGGTTGTTTTCGTAGATATGAACTGATTGGGTGGGAGATTGATGAGAATCATGTTGATCACTTATTATTACAACACAGTGAAATTCAAGAAGTATTGGGATGCGACGTTTTGGTGAAGATTTACAGCTCTGTATTCTGCTCGTAGATCTCAACACGATTTTTTATGAACTGTAATTGGTCGCAATTTTGCATTTGTCAGCTGAAAAATGTTGATAATTTTCTATTTTCGATTGGTAAAATTTCTTTTTCCTGGGCTTTCTTCGTCGATTTTTTCACAATCTGACTCTTTTAAAATGTTTTTCAATCTTGGCTCATAGCAGAGCCTCATGATGCAGAACTCAGCGTGTGATTGAAGAATGTGAAAATTTCGATGAAAGAAAAAAAATTGTATTTTTTCCATCTGCAGTGTTTTTATGCATATACACGCGTCAAAAATTGAATGAAACTTCATCAACGCGTGAGTAAATTTGTCTGTTCGTACGCAGTTCTAAGTGGTTGTGCAAGTTTGCGTCAGCCATCTGCCACTGGATTAAATTGAGAGTTGAGAAGAGACTTGGTTTAGTTCTCACTAGTGTTTTTCGCTATTCAAGTTGAACTCATTTCGCGTTCTCGTGTTAGCATTTTGCTAGTTACGGTTTCATATTTAAACGAGGGTTTATCGAATGATTGTGTGATTTTAACAGATTTCCTTCTCCCAAAGGTTGAGAAACAGCGGACGACGAGTATTCCAAAATGGTGCTTGATATGGATCTGTTCCGAGAGGAGAAGGGTGGCAATCCGGAGTTGATCCGAGAGTCACAACGGAAACGATACAAAGATGTTAAGTTGGTGGATCGCGTGATTGACTGTGATCAAAAATGGCGAAAAGGTGATTTGTGTGCATTGATTGATAGTTTTCGTTATTTCAGCATTCGTATNTTTTTATCATTCATGTTCATATTTTGAAATCCGTTGGATCTTAAATTACGTGCAAAAATTGCATTACTACTCCTGACTTGCAAGACTCATCAGTCTATATTGTTTTCTATTTGCAGATCGTTTCGCGGTTGATAATTTGAATCGTTTAAAAAACGTTTGCAGCAAAGCAATAGGCGAGAAAATGAAGGTACCTCATTGCTGTTTGAAAATTCTGCATTGTTTTCAGATTTTTTCGTTGCAGTGCTCATGTCTTGATTCAAGGTTCCCGCATTGATTTTTTTTGTGATGTTCCAGAAGAAAGAACCGGAGGGAACCGATGAGCAAATTCCAGAGAAGCTTCTGAATGGTTTGGAGAACTTAGGCGCACCTTCAATAAACGTATGTTTTTTTTGTTCCATCATTTTTGAGAAATTTTATGATTTGATTGATTATTGTGGTGGTGAAACGGACTTGAGATTTGATATGAATGTTCGCTTGTACGTCAGAGTCTGGATGATGACGACGACTTCTTAAGAGTATTATTTCATTACTGACCATGTCTGTGTTTATGGCGTAAGAGAAGAATTTCGAGTGTTTCTCATATCATAATAGAATTTTAAATGTATTGATAATTGAAATGTTTGTGATTATGAGAGACGTATTGAAAATAGCAATGAAGAAGGATTTAAAAGTGATGATGCCGGTGGTATTGATAATGAAAGTCATTGTCGAAAAGTTAATATCATCGTTATTAGTGGCAAAAAAACATCAGTAATAATAAAGTGTCGGCTGGTAACTGTGACAATACTAGTACTGATAGTGAGTAATGTTGATGGCTACTGGAACATTATTATTACGTTTTGAGGAGTTAACGATAGCGCAAATTAAACGTTTACGTGTGGTAATCGATGAACGTATGGTGAGCACAAAGAAAGAAATGGACAGACTGGAAACGGAACGCAATGAAGCTCTCGTGGAAATCGGTAACATAATTCATGAGAGTGTAGTGGTGAGTGACGATGAAGCGAATAACAGAGTGGAACGAACCTACGGAAATATCAACGACAAGAAGAAATATTCACACGTTAGTTAGTCACTCTCTTAGTGGTTCATATGAGTCACAGTTGTATCGCCAATGTATTCAGTGATGGGCCTGGACTTGTTAGTAAGACACTGGCTATTCCATTGTCAACTTTATTTGGTTGTGATGACTGCATTTATTCGGTTGAATCTATCAGTTGTGAGAGATTTCATCAGTGGCTCTAGCTAACGAGTGACGATTTGTTCAAAAGTTCATTCAGTGCAAAAAAATTGTCGAACGTTCTGATTAAACGATGTAGTGAATTGCCAAAATCAATCTGAAAAATAACGGCGAAAAGACTGATAGCAAATGAGAAATTGGTGTTATGTATTTGAGGTTATATTATGTGTTAAGACGAGTTTGATTTTGTTGCATTTTGAGGTTGATCTGATAGTGATGGTTGATGGATTCGATGGTGAACGAGGCACTATGGTGGCTGGTGGCCGTGGATACTTCCTGAAGGTTTGAATTGGATACAGTCTTTATTATTTTTGAATTATTTATGTGCTTTATTTATACTTTAAATATATTTTGTTCTTGAATTATTCATGGATTGAAGTTACCATAACTTGCAGGGTCCAATGGTATTCCTGGAGCAGGCGATCATCAATTTAGCTCTTCAAACCTTACAAGCCAAAGGCTTTACAGCACTCTACACGCCGTTCTTTATGCGCAAAGAGATTATGCAAGAAGTGGCGCAATTGAGTCAGTTCGATGAAGAATTGTACAAGGTTCGTGGAATTCGAGCGATCTTCTCAAACTTTGAAGGATTTTTCGTGCAACTCTCAAAAATAAGAATATCATTTACTGAGACCTGTACTTGTTTTTGGAAAAGCTCTAGCTTTATGAATATTACTATTCATAGAATGAGTATAATCGGAAGTAGTTAAAAAATTTCTGTGTAATGCTTTATGATATTGGTTTACTTAGAGATCTTTACTTAAAGATCTTTTTGTCAGTTCCAAGATAGTTATTGTTACCTTGTGATATATTTTTCGTGACGTTCTTTTCGTTGACGATGAAATGCATATATTTGTTTGATGAAAGTAATGTGTTCAGGTAACGGGCAAAGGTACAGAAATGGCTGGTGACGATACTGTAGATGAGAAATATCTGATCGCAACTTCCGAACAACCGATAGCCGCATTCCATCGTAACGAGTGGATCAATCCGGCTGATTTACCGATTAAATATGCAGGAATTTCAACTTGTTTCCGTCAAGAGGCTAGTTTTCGAAGACGTTTAATTTTTCGAATAGTTAGATGATATTGGTTCGATATCATCAATCAGTTGATCATACTTTGGGTGAATATACTGATCAGAAACAAAAGTTAATGATACGAGAGTTGGTAAATAATGATATTAGGTATGGCCGACAGAAATTTGTCGGGCAGTCAGACGGAAAATTCCAAAGTTTCATAAATTTCTACCACACCTAATAGCAATAGAGATATGGGTAGTAAGGGTGATGGTGTACTTATGAAGGCAATATAATCGATTGTGTTGTTATTGAAGGTTGGTAGCCACGGTCGTGACACTCGCGGTATCTTCCGTGTACATCAGTTCGAAAAAGTGGAACAGTTCGTTCTGTGCTCACCACACGATGGTATAAGTTGGAAGATGTTCGATGAGGTTAGTTACCACCTTTCGATTACCGATTTAATAATGTCAGTCATTTTCAGTCTTAATACAAGAAAATACTCTCTCGATTTTGCCATTTGAAAATTTTGAATTTTGAAATGTGATGTTGTTTCAGCTTAATCTCTAGTTGGTGTTTTTTTTAAGATGATTGGGAATGCAGAAGAGTTTTGTCAAATGCTCGAAATACCCTATCAGATCGTTTGTATTGTGTCGGGCGAATTGAATAATGCAGCTGCGAAGAAATTTGATCTGGAAGCGTGGTTCCCGGGAAGTGCAGCGTTCAGGTAAACTTGTGTTTGTATGTAATCAGTTGTTTTTTTTTTGTAATGAATAAATTAATGTTCGTTCATAGGTGATAGAGTTTAAGTGGAATGCTTCGTGGTGCTTCATGTGCTATTTGGTTTCAGAGAATTGGTGTCGTGTTCGAATT